GCACTGAATTTTTTCGGTTGGTGGAAAAAAAATTCAGTGCAAAAGAGATACCTCGATAAAAAAAGGCTAAAAACACGCTAAAAATACCCCCAAAACCCAAACCTCTGCTTGGAGAGTATAGAATTGCTTCATTTCAGACCTTTTTGAGCTAAGCCATTTCTATGCTTCCCAGTACTAGCCAAGGCAACGACCTCACATTTCATAAGTTCCACTCTGGTGAGCTCGCTTCAGGCGTTTAATTGACTGTGTGTCCCTGAGTGTCACCCACACAGTCGTATTATTGTAACATAAAGGTCATACTCAAAGGGTCCCGCCCATGACATGTCACACCTGAAAAATGCCTTCCCACTATTATATCTCGTCTATAATTACAGTTTAGCACGTTCTTATGTACGGGGTGTAATAGCCGCCGGGGGTTAATGACTACCCTGGGAAAACCTGCATAATTTGGCCCATAATTTTGGTCCATAATGAATAGTTTAGAAGAACCACAACACGTATGCTGTTGTAAACGGTGTTTTGGTTTATTGGGTGCGAATGTTAATCTCCATGGAGTTGCTGTGAGGTAAAATCGTTACGTTCCCCTGTCTGACCGGAACTCTAACAGGGAGTCGATTATTGGCAGAACCGGACGGCTAGAAAAACGTAAGGATTTTGCCTTGGGCTCCCCACATCTGACTGGTGCAATAGCTCAATATTTATTGGTAGAGTGCTCGCTTTGTAACCGGGAGGTCGTGAGACCCTAGCCTGGGTGCCATCTGATTTGTAAAAAAACTTTTTTGGGGTAGCCGTTACAAGTTGGATGGCACCCAGGCTAGTGAGACCCGGCCGGGTCATACCATGGAGGTAGCTACCTCCATGAGTCCATGGTCATACCAAAGACATTAAAAATGGTACACGCTTCTTTCTCTGCTTAGCACTCAGCACATACATGAGAAAAAGTGTGGGAAGGTCAAATACTGGACTTGCACAAGTGTGTCGCCCAAGGGCTACGAAATGGAGATGGGCACCACCCTACGCTCGGTGTAAGAGCACGGGAGACCTTTTCCTTCCTTCTTCTTCCCACATCTGCTTTCATATTATGTAAATTTCACCTCAAGATTGATTCACTCCGACCCATAAAATACATGTATAGAACATGGTACCATCAAGAAATCTACATCTACATCAAGGACATTACATGGAGATACCATGTATATAACAACTGGATATGGAAGGCTTTCTGTTCGATATTTAATTTTCATCGTCCCAATAGGTAATCCCTTCAGTGAGTGATTGCCACGACATAGTGCGTTGAATGATTCTGATGGTGACTGACTTTTGGAAGCCAAAGCTGTATCATACACAAAGGTCGGGTGTATATTTTATTTCATCCAAGGAGGTTTACGGTACTAGTACTACTGGCAGCTCGTCGGCTCGAGCACGGGTCCATTATCAATGATTTATGGCGCATTTCTCCGTATTTATTAGCTCCTTACAAGTTGCTTATAGATGCCGCTACAACAAACCGCCATTTTATTTTTCTCGGTCAAAGTTCGTATACTAGTTTGTTCATTATTAGATGATTTATTTTGACTACTTATTTTACACCGTACCGATCCTACTTTTTGAAAACGGAAAACCTATACATGTGTCGGATATTGGAGTCAAAGCTATAATTTGAGTTATTGAGATATTGGAGTCATTGCTTTGTACACGTGTTTCTTTATTTGCTATTTGCCACCGATTGGTCATAGCAGCACATCATAAAGGCATATATAATGGAAACATAAGCTCTTCACATGTATATATACAATACTTACATCTATAATAACGTGACATAAGTGGTGTTCAGCTATATTTTGAATGTCCGAGTGACATGATATCAGTTCACTAAAGCAAAGACAGGAACAGTGAGTCAAAGTCCTAAATGTACCGTAGGGAACATTAGATTCTGTTAGCACTTCTTCTTTTTTTACCATGTCACTATTGTAATCCCATCTTTTAAATTGTGCATTATTAATTAGGTCAATCCGGCGAAAGCTTGCTGTTATGAATCGGATATTACAGGACATATGAATGTACATGTATGAAAATAAAATGTTACATTTTGCATGGTGAAGCCCGCCGCATTTTGTTATTGTCATTATAAATAGGTATTAATTAAACCCACTACTCATTGATTTCGTTAACAAAACATCCTTTCCTTACCTTAGATCTATAACACGTAAAAGTTCGTCACTATGTTGCCCTTAATGGTGATCACTCCAATATCCACAATAATATCGGACAGCGCCGTACTCACGGCTGACGCCATTTTGCATCCAACTGAAGCATTCGCCAGTCGCGCCATATTCTAGGTTTGCCACCCCTCATCCTGAATATTGTCCCAAAACAGTGCTACCTGACTGTGTGCGGACGTCTTCTCCTTCGAATCAGAGAAAATTCCCCAGTACACCTGCGCCAAAACGACACAGAACTACAAGTTTTCCCTCCCGTTTGGAAATGCTCCTTTTGCCCATATATGGTAGTACTGTTTAAGCGTTACCGAGAAACGGATGCCAAATCTTTCTGCGAAATATAATGGGCGTTTTTTTCGTAGAAAATGTCTTGGAGCTAACCATGGGAACATGGGGAGGGTAGGGTGGAGGAGACATTATTCCATGGCTCGAAAATTGTTTGATGTGCATCAATGAGATAAAGCCTCGGCGTCCACGTTTTGAGGCTTTCTATATTATACTACGTTATAATATTCCACATAATTGTTTATTAAACCATAACAACATCATACTATACAACAGTGGCGTCGCACATATATTGGCGCTCATGTATTGGCGGAGAATGATGGCGCGATATCATAAACACGTCATAATGATCGGTAACGCGGAGTAAGGGTAAGGAGCGGCATCTGTCGACTTCCATAGGAAATGCAACTCAAAGATGAACTTTCAACTTTAGCCTTGCTGACATCTGTAGGCAGAGTTGACGAGAAAGGTACGTATGTGTGCAGCAGGCTAGCGGCCCTCTCTTTTCACCTGGCAAGCGTTAAGATTTATGTAGTTCAGTTGCTTATGAACAGGGAACTGTTAATCGTTACCCTAATGTTGCTGACAAAGGAGTAACACTGACAAACACCGTAACGTTGAAGAAAGAATGGGGAGGGGGTGGTGGGATCAAGCGACTACGTACCTGGCTCATACCTTATTTGGTACATATAACGTCACGTTGGTTGATGCTAACCTCTACAAACTTAACCTATAACCTAGATCCATTTGTCCATTGCGTAGGCTGAACATTTCTCTTTTGTAGCACACCTGACAAAGGTAACCCTTAACCCTTATGAACAAGGTCAGCCAACTAACTGGACAGTCAGATTCACTTTCAAGTAGTGAGACCCATACATCCCCAGCTCATTCTGTTCTCTCACATACAGGGCAAGGGTGAGCCAGTCAGTGTCGGCTGGAGGTGGGGAGTTTTTCCATAAACATGGTGCCTTCCGCACTAGTCCTGGGCGCGTCACGTGGTATCGGCCGGCAGGTCGCCCTGACCCTGGCCGGTGCCGGTTACCGGGTGGGCGTGGCCGCCAAAACCGTCCAGGACACGCCCAGACTCCCGGGAACCATCTACACCGTGTCGGACGAGATAACCTCCCGAGGTGGACACGCCCTCCCCATCCCGTGTAACGTGAGGAACCCGGAAGAGATAAACAACGCAGTCAGCACATGTATCCGGGAGTTCGGGGCCCTTGACTTTACGGTGTACAACGCCGGTGCGATTCTGTGGGAGAAAGTCATAGACACGCCCCTTAAACGGTTCGACTTGATGATGGACGTGAACGTGAGAGGTGCGTACGTGATGATACAAGCCGTACTGCCGCACATGCTGGAGAGGAAGGCGGGGAGGATACTGCTGGTGGCCCCGCCCATCTACTCCCGCTTTTTCAAGGGAAAGACGCCCTACGCCGTGACCAAAGTCGGGATGACAGTACTAGTGCATGGCTTGGCGAGGGAGCTCGAAAATACAGGTAAAATGAAACAAGAAGTCTGAAAAAGTATGCCAGTATAGTCACGTGAATAAAGATATATTACATTTTGTTCTTGCGATTTTAACAGAGCAGAATCATTGACATTATAATATAATAACGTTCAAAGGCTGCATAGATAACCGGTGAAAGAGATACTCTGTGCGTACTTTTGAGCTCCTTACAATTATTTATCGTTTGGCAATGTTTAATATACATCATTCAGGGGTCTCCATATCAGCACTGTGGCCTGCAACGACGATAGAAAGTCACGTGACCACGGTGAAGAGCGTTCCTCCAGCGTACTTCAGGAAGGCTGACGTCTTTGCCGATGCCTGTCTGGCTATTGGTCAGGAACTAACAGAAAGGTCTGTGTCTAATTACCTACTAGTATTTCCACACAAAACTGGATCGTAGTTGGAAAACACGTGCAATGATGTATCATTGTATGTAACGTTATATGTTTAAAATAAATGCACAATCTCATATAATCGCAATACTTTGCATCAACGTTAACAGAGTAATGATTCCATAGTTAGATCAAGTGGACACACTACGTCACCGTATCCTCCAGGTGAAATAGGCAGGCATCAAACGTGAACGTGGATTTGGGTCAAATATCACCCCTATGTGTGCCGGACTGGTGTAAACCAATGAATCACCTTTTGCAAACAGGATTTTGGGTTAAAAGGCACTAAAACTGAAATTAGTGTATTTGTCCTTAAACGTTACCTTCTGTAGTCCGCCCCTTGTAAGGCTCTTCCGTTTGTTATTCTCCAGGTTAAACGGCCTGGCTCTAATAGACGAGGACTACCTGCGGACTGTGGGGGTTACGGACTTCTCTAAGTACCAATGCCTGCCGGGGACGGAGCCTCCCCGCATCATGCCCCGCCGGTTCCCGTCTCTACGGGTGGAGGAGGAGGACCAAGTCACCATACCGGACTCCAAATTATAGTCTCAGAACTGTCACCATATAGTTTTAGAACTGTCACCATACCGGGCAACAAATTATAGTTTCAGAACTGTCACCATATAGTTTTAGAACTGTCACCATACCGGACAACAAATTATAGTTTCAGAACACTGGAACTAGTGACAGTGTCTTTTTTGTTCGCGATTTTCGCGGTGACCTCCTGAACAATACAGATTTTCTCTCAGCAATGTACTTTGCGAAGGTTTTTTCCCTGCCGCGAAAGCAAGTCCACATAAACATTTGAACACATGAGTTTATGAATTTACCATGTATAACTTCCAGGGCGGGGACTGTACTTGTGTTACGTTTTGTGAACAAAGTTCGGGTTATAGACATACTCTTATATACATGTAATGGACACAAGCTACAGTGACCAACATGCGCACGATTTTCGCAGACACTGGTATCGCATCACTCTCCATCACTCTTTCCCACTCCCGACTGTTACTGTTGGGAAAATAAACTTAACTTGAAACATCCACTGGTTGGAAAACACACACACGATACAATGCGTTCATGATCTGTATTTGCTTTAATCATGTAGTTCATGGAATTCAAAGTAGTGCCGTCAACAAGTGGAAAGGTGATTTCGTTGCTTCTTCGTCGTTGTATCATTTGTTACAGAATAGTTCACTGCAGCTGGGTGAAAAGGCTACATAAGGTATTTCAAACGGCCAACACACAGGTAATTTGTATAACACCGTAGACGACAGAAGAATGGTGGCATGCCACATGCACAGGAAACGTATGACGGTCTGTCACTTATGTAGTTGCAGTGATTCAATCTGTAACAAATATCGTCTACCTTGATGCCAACCTTCTTTGATATATTAATTGAATAGCATCATTTGATGGAGCTGCCTAGGCTACTGAAGCTGCGTATTACTACTACTATTGTTGTACTGTGACTTTTGTTGCGATTGAAGGATTCTGGATGGAGTAATGATATTCGTTAATCTTCAAGTTATCTAGCTCTAACTGGTACAAATTCGATTCAATCCTGATTCAATGCAGATCCACCTGCGTACATGGAGTGGCAGTTCAACAAGTGAGACCGTGTTCTAGTATCCCATAAATTAAAACTCGTTCCATATGCAACTATACAACATTCCATATTGGAGCGTCGAAAAATATTTGAAAATATCTGTAAGTCTCAACAAACAGAAGAAAGTTACATTCCATGTTTAAGAGACAGACACAAACCAAATATACAGAATAATACATCAGTATGTAAATATGGCTTTAAGACAAATGTGTTGCATCATCGAGAGTGATGAGTTGTATAAGAAATGACATAATTAATCTATTGAACGCGTCTTTGCGTCAGGATTGTTCAAAAGTTGGCGCCATAAGTATTTGGATTTGGAGATCGGAACGGAAAGCGTTTTGTCAAGAGATTTGGTCGTTGTCAATATTTAAAGTGTAGTTGCTGGATGGTGGAATCGTAGATGGGGTATCATTCATAGAACAGTTGCTGTGATACGTGGTGGCCAAACATGGATAGGTACTATAGTGTTACTTCGCGCTCCATTGTGACCTACAGTCGACGCAACTTCAGGAACTCTTCCAAAAAGATCCTGGTCATTCCAAGACAACTTGAATTCTCATCCTATCATGGGAATGATATATTAAATAATAATTCTGTTCATATATATTTGCAACTTCTTCTCTACCATACAGAAGAGCAGCATTCTTTTTTCTGTAACAATAGTGTCGAGAATATGCGACTTCTTTGTCTTTCAATTATTCCAATACTGTGTCAATTGTGACGCAGAGCATTGCTTTTCAGATCAGAATGTCCTGGCCTCTTTTTCATCCTGTCAGGTACTGGTAAGAAGGGATTTCGGTAACTGACTGGAGATAGTTGAAACGATATTTAGTCCGAAATCTCCTCAATAAAATGCCGTTAATCGTTGGGCATGATGAGGTTGATCATCCCGTGGTGCACCTGTCCTTGTACCGGGCCGTAGTGGATCTTCTCCCCGTCCAGGGTCATGAGTCCGGGCGGTGTGACCGGCTCCACGCGGAAAGCCTTGCAGCACACGTACCCGCCGTCACTGCCGAAATCAAACACCTGGGTCCCTTCCGCCATCTTCCCCATGAACTTCAACATCTGTCTCCTGGACACGCCCGACTTCAGGAAGGACAGGAACAGGACACCGTCGTCAAACGAGCTGCACGGAGACGAGAAGTAACCTTCTGAGATGTGGCTGATGCTTTGGATGATCATGGTGACGAAGTCGGTGTCTATGGTAACCCAGTTGGCGGGGACAGGCTGGTCCAGCGGCGGGAGGAGGGGGGAGGGCGGTCCGTACACATGGTTGGGAGGGTTGCCTCCAGCCGTGCATGGCTGGGAGGACTTGGAGTTGTTTTGGTTCGTTGACACGGATGCTCCGATGAAGTCAGAGTCGCCGTTTTTGTAATGTTTGTCCTTACCGTCCATCTTTCCCACCATGTCGTCAGCCGTGGTAGCTTCATAGACAGTGTTCATATTGCCATTTACGTGCCCTTCGGAATTTGTGTGGTGAACGCCGTTTTCTGTGGAAAATGACATGAGCTGAGCGTCCAGTGAGGTGGACTCCTGACTGGGCGTTTCTAGAGGTTCATTGTCCGTAGAAATGTAATTAAACCCGTTCATCGCGCTCACACTGCGCGTGCGCATCCTTGCGTCATCACGTCGACCGTTGATGGTGACGGCAGACGAACTGTGCGACAAACTTCTGGGTTTGACGTCGACTTTGTTTTGGGACAGAACTTGTCGTGCCTGCTTCAGGGCGTCCACGCCTTCCACGGGAAGGAAAGAAAGCTTACCCCTGTACACCCTCAGCTTCATTAGGTTATGGAGGGACCCGAAAAGAAAGCGACTTCCCCCCAAGTACCGATAGCGTTCGCTCTCGATGTCCACGTCGGCGGAGAAGCCCCACTGGAAGGACAGGAATGCGTAGCGACGCTGGGAGGCCGTGTCGACAGACATGAGGTCCAGCGGACGGGTGTGACCTTTCATCGTGGCCTTCAGCAACACGAAGGTCGAATGGAACATCCTGTCCTCCTCGAATGGTTCCCTGGTAAAAGAAATTCAGGCCAAAATTAGATTTGCAATGAAAGGCGATGACATACAACAGTGGTTCTGTCAATCAGAACTCCAATCACAAGGTCCGACAATTTCTTAGAATTATTTCATTTTGTGCATACATAGATGAGACAAAAGGAGGTTAAAACATGTCCTCACCCCAGTGCATAGTTAATGGAGTAGCAGAGTCCGTTTCCCGAGCCGGCGGGAAGGATACCGAGCGGGATCTTGATGGCCTGCTCCCAGTCAGGCCGCGACATCAGCCCGTTAACAACCTGGGGGAGAAACGGGTGGGTCAGCACCGGGAAAGACTGGTCAAAGCGCTATATATATTCTTACCATTTTCCTCTGTGGCCATCGAAGGGGATCTCTCTATGTATAGTGGCTAAATTTAGTGCACATTCTTCACAATGGAAGACTGGCCTAACAGAAGTTTTTTATGCCGAACGTTACTGTCTAGGCGCCAGTCACGTTCAGGGAAACGTTATGGAATGTATATAATGTTCAAATAATCATGGCTTTACGAAACCTTTTCATGTTCACTCCATACAATCTAAAACCATTATATAGTGTCTTAGTATAAAGTTCAGGAACAGGGATAAAGTTTCTTATCGAAATCTTGACGGCAGTTAAAGGTTTTAAACACTTAGCGTTTGTGTGTCACCGATGGAAGAATGTTGGGCAAATTTCTCTCAACGGTTTAACAGAACATCGCCTACACGTCTGTGAACTTTCCGAATGGCAGACAGTCGGGGGAAGTGTAGGAGCCTAATCTTTCCGTAACACTCTCAGGCATTAGAGTTGACTAAACCAGTACTACTGACACACAACCTGCGATTAGATGGATAACTACTTCTTTCACAGGATGGAGAAGGCTTGTGCTGGATGCCTCCCTCCAGACGAGGATGGCACAGCTCCAACAAAAGCGCCAGAGGCACGAGACCAGGTGATTGCCGGGCGTCCCACTTTTTGAATGCAATTAACCGTACCTTGTTCGTTTCTTTCTACTGAGCTTCCCCACTACTCCCCGGAAAAAAGTGGCCTTACCTCGTACAGCAGACCATCCCCGGACACAACAACGATCCCTCCCCAGGACGACAGGTCCGTAGTCTGCACCACATCAAACGCGTGCCCAGAGTATTCTGACAATAAAAAAAATGATAAAGGAAAAAAATATATAGTTTAGTCGATCTAAGTACTTGTAATCCATCTTAAGCTTTGAGGATGAAAACTATAACAGTGGGTACATTCACTGCGTGTATGTATGTGTGTGCAAACGTTATACACGTAGTTCTTCCTTAGATGGCCCGTGTTTGCATTAAATTCCTGGTTGTACATGTAGATGATGAGGCAAGTATCAGTAAGCATAACATGACTTCTGTAGCTATCGCCCCAGTGCTCGTACATACCTGTGGTGACCACACTTATGGAGACATCGGCCTCCCCCATCATGGGCAGGACCTGGTCGTCAAAGTACTGTTTCGCCTTCCCCTGTCCGCCGAACGGGTTGAGCAGCACCAGCAGGGTCGGGCGGGAGGGCAGCAGGCTGGGGCGGAGGTCTGCGGAGGGGGAGTTGTAGGAATCAATTAATCAATAAATCAATCAAATGATCCAGAAGCCAATCAATCAATCAATAAATAAATAAATCCAACTGTCCGTCCATTCGACCATCCATTCATCCATTTACCCATCCATCCATCCATCCATCCATCCATCCATCCATCCATCCATCCATCCATCCATCCATCCATCCATCCATCCATCCATCCATCCATCCATCCATCCATCCATCTACATTGCACTAGCGAGGCCAACAATTTTCAAGCAAGAAGAAACCAGTGTTCAAAGGCAGAAACTGCAAGAAAATCAGGAACAAAACGAAGCAACTGCTAAGTGATATTTCCGGCAGTGAAGAGGCGACTTGAACTTTTCCCCTCAACTAACGTTACTGTTACATGATAGATCAGCTCAAATGTCGTTGTTTACGAGTGTGTACAGATGGATCATGTTTGGCAAGTGTCCATGACACACGTATATAGGACTTGATAGAAATGTGTTCACACAATTGCGTGCGAAGACGAAAGTTTGCGTTCCCTGCTCAGCTCAGGCGCTTCACTGTATGTATGTCGTAATTTATGCCCAGCTCCCAGAAGGCTTACGGGTCGTCAAGAGGTTCACACGTTTTCGGATAACTGTGCCGGCGACAGCCATAACGGGCTAAGGGGTCGAGTAAACGTTGTATTTTTTTTAACTCAACACTTCCGTCGTGTATTTTATTTTTCAGATAGATACAATGTAGATCTATTCAAATTCTGATATTTATGTACCATTTTTCTTGGGAGAGTTTGGTTAATATCATACCAAATGCCACGTGCTGTATATTGAAAGAACAATGGTCTGGCAACCACCTCCTAACATTCACTCGCTCATGGTTACATTTGTTACAGCCACTTGAATGCGTTTGCACGCATTTGTAGACCGGACCACAAAAAGTGGTACAAATCCTTGGTAACAAAAAACACTGCAGTTTGCGATTGTCTTCATTGGCATTGTTCAGCTACTTCCAGTCCGTCAAGAGACATTGTTGAAGGGCCACTTGAACGTCAGACAGACTGGTTCAGACTGGTTCAGACCAGGACGCACTCCAGACGCATTAGTGTTCCACTCTGCCGTGCGCTGGTATATCGATCTCTTACACTTCAGACTGGACACATGGAAAAACGAACGTTTGTACGTACGGTCAGGGCTCGAAATTAAAGGTGGTCCAATGGCCACTGACCGCTAAAATTTAGGCTGGGACAACTAGATCTAAAAAGACACTTTGTGACATTTTTGGGACAATAGAAAAATAATCAACATTCAGAGTGTCAGCCTTTCTTTTGTTTATCAGGCACATTTCCCGGCTTTTGGATCCGGAAAAGTAGCTCCGAATTTCCTGTCTATACTGCAATTATAGTGCGCCTGGGAGTGAACACAAGCAAAAGAAAATTGAAGCCATACATATTAGTTAAAAAAAAAAACAGGTTGGGACAGTTCACCTCACTTGGGGACAATTGAAATTTATTTTTGGGACAGTGCTGGGACAATAGGAAGAAAAGTTTCGAGGCCTGCCGTACGTAGGTATTATACTGACCGGCAGGCCTACGGCGAAAAAAATGGCGCACGTACACTTTCAAGTGACGCAGAGTCAGTCATGCGACGCTTTTGTCGGTCGTACAAAGCCCTCTAGAATATTAGACGAAACAATATAATATTTATAAGACGCATCTTAGTACAAAGTTAATATTTAAACATAGGACCGAATTGTTATTCTCAGAGGTTTGGTACGACAGTACCATGAACTTTTGTACGCCAATGTGTTATTATTTATCGAGTATTTTGTTGTCCCATTCAAGCAACAAAGAAACGATAATGACCTCTCAAAACCATCACAAAACGCGATAACCTGTTAGTTTTCACATATTCCATTGTCTAGTCTCCCACTGTGCGAAACACAAATGATAAACGCGCATCTTCTTTGTGTCGTCAAGTTCAATGCCAACCCCGATATTCCCATGCGTGCCAGACCGTCATTACTAAGTCAGACACGTGGAGAGGGCAGGTGGTAGACTGGGCGTTAACCAGACAGTCCCGTGTCAGTAGAGGTCTTCTAAAAGCTTTCCAGGTAGGCTGGAAATTGCCTGACATGACGATTCTGGACCGATTCTCAGAAAGTCAATGACATACAACTGTTTCGTTTTATTTTATTTTGTTGTTTTACTTTCTCATTTCCATTTCTCTGCCTGCTTTTTCTTCCACCGTCACCGTCTTCTATTCATATCATTATTGTTCACCTTTGTCTTACAAGAAGTCATCGGTCTTTTATTTTGGGTGAGAGGGATACCATTGTTCGATGCGAACAACGCTCATTCATCCACAACAATAGTTTACTGGTTGTTCATTACACGCCATTAACCCCAGTGACACATCACCATTTCACACAGATGCTGAGATGGTGGACTGAAATCGCGATCTCCTAGCAGATGTATGGAGATCGATCTTCACACTTTACTGCAAGTAGATGGGAAATATTACTAGTATTACGTTAAGATTTTCCCTTTTATAAACTAGGAGATTATATCACTGGTGCTAAACATGTTAGGCTGACGATGGAAGACACAGGGACTTGACAAACATCTAAGTTTGAACTGTGGGAATCGACGCGGAACTTGCTAGTTTTAACATCATTACATGTTACAATTTGCTGACAGTTCGTCTCCTAACTCGATATTGCAGTTTTTACGGACAGTATAAGGTAGAGCTCAGTCAGCTGAAATTGAAAACCCCACCTCCATTTTTGCAACCTTTGGTTATTGTTCTGACCACAAAGAAACGAAGTTCAACATAGCTGTAATCCGCAGCCGTCATGGTTTATACAAATACAAAGGAAACGCAATCAGGCCTCTTTGTGTACCCTGGTTTTCGAGGTCAGATCTGAGATCCATTTTCACGTTCCCTTTACAACATTTGTGTCTTTACTGTGGTCAAAACAACAACCAAAGTGTTCAATTTCAGCTGACTGCGCAGCGCCACTCAACCTGAAGCACAACGTCGAGTTATGAGTCAAGCTGTCAGCAAATTGTAACATGGAATGATGTAATGCTTGCAATCGTGTTCGGTAACTGTTTACAACTCACGTCCTGGTGGCCATATATCACACCGTACGGTCAAAAGTACGGAAGCCTTTATTGGGGCAAGATAAATAAACAACCTAAAACGTACTACGTACTAGCCACGGAAATAGGATCTCTCTCGCTCTCTCTCCCTCTCTCTCTCTCTCTCTGTCTCTCTTTTACAAAGGATTGTTCTGTCCAAGCAGATTTATTAGAGAACATCACAAATCTAACCATGTCACTGAGATATGAGCACTCATATTGATGTACATTATTGTTGCAAGTACAGCAAAACGGTGACAGAAGCTACAGTCAGATTGCACACGTAGAATACGTGGTGGTATGTTGTATCTATTAGCACTGTACCATTGTGTAAATGGGCAAATATCTTTATCACCTCTCACTGCAGCTGTCAAATCTTGATCTTTGCCCACATTGTTCGAAACACAAATGTGCAGGGAGCGGACGTCGTACTTTGCACTGTTTCATAATAATGACTGGCAAAACTAATTCTTTCCAAAATCTGCAGCGTAAACTGGTCTGACCAGTAGCTGACCATGCGTGTTGTAATTTTCAGATCGCCGTACCTAACTGATGTATCTGGGTCATTGGGACACGGATTTTCGAGCGTACTCCAGACCTTTGGCGGTGGGCAGCTACCGTGGCAGATGCTATTACCGAGTGAGAGCAAATAAGTGTGTCACGCTGAAACATACTAATCAGTGGGAGATAATGACTAAAATATGTATGTGGTGGTTTTGAATATAGATATTATATTATGTCATCACATGTCTTATTATTAGACCGTGGTCAGACACATGACTAGAAGTTAGACGTGGTACATATAAAGTATCAAAGTATCGATTCTTATTTACTATATTGACTTGGGCTTACGCACCACTGTTGCCAAGTACATTTAAAAACATGTGTGTGCGGCAGAAAAGAGGGAAATGTTTCTCCTAAAAGAAAACGACCATCGTAATACAAGTTAGGCTAGTTCATGATCTGAAATTGAACTTTGTATTTAGACTAGTAAGTGTTGGGTGATGTAAATCGCACTGTGTGTCGGGAATATTGCATAAGAATGTTCCACCTGTCCTACTAGGCACACTCGGACTCTCGACCTTTGAGCAAATGTCGTCAAACTAGAACAACAGTGCTTTGTACCTCTGAGGTTTCAAGGACAAGGGAATAATGGATACACATATAAACAGGGGACAAGCAAAATGCTACCACTTCATAGCAATTACATGTACGTACAGTACAGACAATGACGAATGTCTTTCTAAAGCAATAGTATCTAAATGTCCTGGAACTAAGTGGAAGGGCGTTGTCAATATGACGAGCTATAAAGTTCACAGTTAAACGTTTGTCAAATTGCTGTCAGATAAATATAGTGTGCTCGTTTCGTGTTAGATGAATTTCTCAGTCCTACGTGACATTCCGCTTACACATACATTCACTCTGTATTAATCATAATGTATCATAAATATAGGACTTCATATAGATCTACTGACATACATTTTTACAACAACAATGATGTGTGGACTGAAATTAATTGTCTGTGTGCAAGTTGTGAGGTCACTGTCGTTCCTTTTGTGTCCCAGTTCTCGATGTGACAGATGCACAACACGAGAAAGCCATGCATTAATCATCATGTGTGCAGGGGCTGGGCTGTACCCATGTGTGCAGTACTGAGGTCATGTTTTACGCCGGTACAGTTGGACTGATTCCATGTTTTTGTTGGATGTCAGTGAAACCGTTCACGTGATCTCTGATCAGCGATGCTTGGAACTCTATATATTTTAATGATTGATGAAACAACACGGTATAATACGCGACACACAAAAGAACCTACCGGTATCCGCTGTCACGGTGTGCCCGGCTAGCAGGCACCTGACGGCGACTCTCCATTTCTCGGCGAGCTCACAGTTCTGTTCGTAGTTGTCGAACCTGTCGACCCTGAACGATGTGCAGACGCGGGTTCTCACACTTCCCGATAGGAGCTTCCTCTTCAGAGGGTAGGAGTATATACATAGGAAAGCGGCCTGGTTTGCCTGGGTGGGTTTTCTTCTCAGTGAAACGCTCGTGTGGCATCCCAACACGTCTGCTAGCGCCAGGGTACGTTCCTGTTTCGACCCCACTACAACATAGACTATGGCTTCGGGCGTAAGTCTGACCGTATAACGGAGGTTTCCTCTTCTGTAAGCAGCGAAGTCGTCTTGTAAGATGACCTGAGGGGCTGTGATCCCGTCAGTCGGTGTACATTGTAGTCCGGCCATTGCGGAACTGTTGTTCTCACTGTACAATGTACAAGCTCGACACGTTCACCCCGAAACGTCACCGCAAGGACCTACCAAGATGCATACATCGCTGATCGTAGGGGTGTGTTTCATCACAAGGTAGAAAATAAAACATATATTGCTGCTCCTGTTGTTACAAACCTTACCTTATATGACACATAAAAAATCGACACAAAAGAGCAGTCAACGCACTTGCTCTCTCCTTTGTTACCTGTAGCATGGTATTTTCTGTTACCACCCCTATTATGACAGTGGATTGTTCCATTTCCCATCATGCCAGACGGCAAAGGAAAAGAGTGCGACGACAAACATTTTGTCACAGTTTACAAACATGTTTTTGTGGTGTCCATTTCTTCCCACGGGATATATGGGTCATTGAGGTCACGTCACGTGGTCTTCAATAACATGTACAATATCAGAAGTAAACAAAACACAAATATCCCATGTTTACGTCACGTATACGGGACGCATACTGGACGAGGTCGAATACGTTCCTCACTCCCAGGAGAATATGGATCGTTTACTGTTTAGGTGCCTTTATCAGTTTATGTGATTAACGTTATGTGACTCCCGTGGACTATTGATCCCCTAAGTTGTCAGCGCCCTGGCATAAAAGCACTTCAGTTTTCTGCAAACAGTAAAGTACAATAACCGCTGCTGGGATTGTCAACAAAAACAGTTTGGGCACAGAAGTTCGGTATGTCAAGGACGTTATGTAGGGATAATGTCCTTGGGTTATTATAGCCTCTGCGTGGGGACGGGCTATCACTTGTAAATATGCCAATCAATTAAGTCCTGAACTGTCACACCTGCCCACCTCACCAGTAGAAATAGCTTTTCACATTCTGAAATTAAACCTTTGATGGGATAATTTGTCAGTCCAGGGCCAATTAGGCAAGTTTAGCGGACAAACTCCAGCAAAGAAATCAGCATATTTCTGACAACGTATATCATATGTTTGTACCGTTTCGCCCACTTTTAATATAAATCTATTAAAAGAGACTAGCTACCTGAACGACCTTGCCAGAGACGGCCTGTTTTGAGGCTACCCAGAAATTCTAGAGGCCGCCAATTCCGGTCACAGATATCAAGTTCACTTCTATTTTGGTATCAGCCTCGAGTGACCCAGTTATGGTACAACGTACGAAAACAACATGCTCGCCTTACACACACTGGGGATAGACACTGAAACGCATTACGTGATTGGTTCGGATCGATCGAGTGCGACACAATCACACAAGGACTAACATCACCAGATGAATGGATTGCCTTGTTTCTGTGCGTCTGTGCCGATTTTGCACGTCTTTCAAATGGTACAGGATAGGGGATGATTTTATACTCGTAGTTACATATACTAATCAATTGCTACATGTACAGTGGATGCCAGTTATTTGCAAAACGCTTTTTAGAAAAATCCGGCCAAACGAAAAAATTGTGAAAACCCAAACCATTTCCCATTGACGCCATTGTTTATAGCGTCTCTTATTTGAACATTTCATGTACAACGTATTATGAATAATTACGTGACGTTATGATGCGATATTACTATCATAAAATCCACAAACTCATCCAAAAAAAACATATTCGTTGCCCAGATCAGATACTAGTACTAGTCTTTTTTTTTAGTTCGAATTAAAAAAAAACTCGAAGTTTCCAGCAAATATTTAGGGCACGTACGACGGACATAGTGATCGTGTTTTCTTCGGGTTAACGGTTCAACGCGCGAAATACTTGGAATGATCTGCGCTTTACAGGTCACATGTCAACTTGCCAAGTCCAAGGCCAATGTTATTGTAACCTGATACATGTAACGTTATATGTGATACACCAAGTTGTGTTGCCTTCGTCATATTACTTCAGATATATAAAGCATGAGCGGTAAAGTAAACAATTCCGGGAACCTAAAGTGTCAATAAAGCTGACTGATAAGGATCTCAGTTCCCGGACACAAATCAAGAAATCAGCAGCGCAACCAAGTTAACTACATAATTTTTTTAATCACGAACAACACAATGGCAGTACGTATGTGTTGAAACTATTATCGTTATGAGAATATGTAATGTTACGTCTTACCACACTTGGGAAAGTGCATTAGTTCATATATATGAGTTACTGAACCTGTTACTGCAGTGATTTCGCAAACCGCTAGACAGCGTAGTCATTTGTTGATGTCGAGCAGGTCCTGCAGACCATTTGGCACCGCGCCAATCCTTCCAAGAAAAATCGTTGTTCAGGGAATCGGTGCATTGCTGATGAGTTCTATGTAGCGCCAGCGCCCTGTGCGCCGTATATGGTAGTTTTCAGCATTTCCAGCCGATAGTGGGAAAATGAGCGTTTTCTTGCAAACGACGGAGACTTTCGTATATGTGTACCCATGATATGAAAGACATACAGGCTCCCCTGTGATGATACTACTGCACAAACCTCGCAGCTCGTCTTTGTCCCTGTATCCAGGGATTTTAGCCGGTACGTTTCCCGATCGGGATGTTCGCTTCACTGCTCCACCACTGCAGGTAGACCACAGGGCCAGTCGAAAGGCGGCGCTGCACTAGGTAAACAGGCTGACAGACTGACAGAAAAACAATATCTGGATCGTCATAGTATATCATGTATACTTGCATAGGTCTATTGACTATCATTTTATATCGATTAGGACCTTAACAGACTGGAGTGTCACAGTATAAAACATAGCAAATTTAACGTTGGTCACACATGTAGTTAAAGTGAAGTAAGTGTAAAATCCAGTATCACTGCAGCTGGCTGAATTGAAATGGTGAATCAATTAATAGTCTGCTAACTAGCTATAGCAATAGCATCACAGCGGCCACGGGAAAGTCCAGAAGCGGGGTAATTTTTCATCTTCTATTGCATAACAAGTGCGATTAATCTCCAAGCAGATCTAGGGTGGCATAAGACAGTATCAAGTTGCCCATGCAGTACCCATTGGCTAGAGAGAATCCAATACGTCCAATACTGCCTGGTCAATTTGCTACTGTCCTATGCCACCCAATGATCTGCTTGGAGATTAAAGTGCGATGTATTTTCTGTTTACACACATGTGACGCAAGGGCATAGAGTCACGGCCGCACGGGTACAGGCCCGGGTATCCGCCACACGTCCTCACCTACACAATACCCTGCAGGTGTTTTCTGTAATATTCACTCCCACACAAATCCTCACCGGTGTGGCCGTTCCGCTCTCCCCATAATCCCCTCTGTCAGGTAATCACTGTGTGGGATAATCCTCATCCTCTTTGTTACGGACAAGTTCACCAGAAAGGAGAGGAAACGTACCTACGTGGTTACTAATCTAACAACAAGGTCCCTACACATGACCGGACGTGAGAAAACCTCCTGCCGTCCTCTTTAGCCAGTTAAACTTGAAACGATGTCAACTCAGCTAGTGTTTCATTCACAGGTGGCTGGGTCACCATTCAGAAAAATAGTACGTATCCGCTGGAATAATTTTGCGTACTCGAGTAAGATTTACAATTAATACGCCATGTAATTTGTTTGAGTGGCTGTATTAAGCTATATTGAATTGTTCTCAAGCGTGTAGTGATGGGCCTGGATTGGGGAATCTTTACATTGTTTGCAGGTACTTTAGTCACGCAGGTTGGAGCCGTTTAGATCTCCTTGTCATGTGACACTGTTTGGAAAAAGGATGGAATCTCGCACAGTTTTGTCCCGATAAGTGGGTTGAATAATGCCGATCGTTTGAAAAGGTTGTGTCGCAAACAGTTTCAAACAAGAAATACCTTTACAGGCGAACAGTCGCCGCGGATACCGCTCTGAACTCTCCGACGTCAGTACTTACAGGGTAACCTACTCGCAGTCAGACGTATGTTATAACTTATAGGTAGAGAAACGTGTTTGGTGGTCTGATTTGCAGTACAGCACTGAGCAGGAGGCAGTTCAACAGCTTCTCTACCATAGAAGTCTACAATACGCGATGGCGCCTTTGCGTATCATTTTTGTCTTGACATTTTTGGCGCTGGTCAAGGAATCGCGAGCTGCTACAAGTCACGGTAAGTACAGACATCATTTTAACTAGACCCAAACTCTACATATGTTAACACAGAACTGCAGGCACGTTAGCAGGTTCCTCAATCCCTCGTCATGAGCTTATAGAACGTTAACAAAAACTACGAAAACAGCAGTTGTGGAGGGGTGAATGGTTGTTGGTGTAACATGCCGGTAGTTTGGGGTTCGTTCCTGACTTTATAAAAGGTGTATACACGACCCAGAGGAAGGGACGTGTCGACAGAATGCAGTCTAGACTTTTCAAGATGGGCGATTTTGTGAAGAAATGGTCCTCCACATTCCCCTCACCCACAAGAACTGCTGAAACAAACGCCTCAAGCATCTGTTTAACGTGTAGATTTAAAATGGATTACAGTTTTTGTAGTATTCTTGCCTTCACGCCCTACGCATATATACTTATGGAAAGCTATAGAAATGCATGTATATGTACTTGAACCTATAGCGCTGTAATAAGGCCCTTTTATTAAAACTTTACAAAGTTTTTTTTTGTCCCAGCCAGCATTCCCACCCCGTGTATACATATAGATTTGTGTTTGATTTTTGTTTGTGACTTCTGTACTTCTGTACTTATAAGCCCATATGGGCTGGACGACAAAGAAAAGTCGCAAGACACCTTATGAAATTTCATTCAGTGATTCATATAGAAGTGACGAACGTGTTGTTGCCGTCCACACAGTGTACATGTACCCGACCTGGTGCGGCGCCATGCTGGACGTCACGGCCGCCAAGGTCGTCTGGCCCGCCACGAACTACCGGGACCAGGCGAACCTGGTACGGGACCGGCTACGACTGCACCGTGGTGGCGCGGGCCGAGTACCTCAACCAGACCGTCAACCTGTACGCCAACCTGGCCCTGAGTCAACCCACTACGCCGGCGGTAGCAGTAACGACGTCGCCACTGACGACAATGTCGCCAGAGAACGTCACTGTCACGACGCAAGCTGCAAACACCACCAACTCGACTGTAACTGCCACCAGTGGACATTTGGTGACCAGTACGAGCAATGTAACAACCAGTAGTCCCGTCACAGCGACGGTCACCAACCTAACCCCAGCGGCTACTGTCACTAGCGGAAATGACATCACCACAAGTTGCGACACAGACTATCTAGCAATCTATGACGGTCCCAGCACCTCTGCTAGTCTGATTGAGAAACTTTGCTACGGCAACACGCTCTTGGATACGGCCAATCAGGACTCGTCCGGCCCTTACGTCACCTTCAGATTCGTCAGGAGCGGCAAATATCTCTACAACTTCACCCTGTGGTACACGTCTTTTCACACAGGTCAGTCGTACACTAGATGGCAAATCTAGATGGCCATCTTTTAAGGCCACTATCTTAAAGAGGAACAACTTTACTAAATAAAAATTGTCAACTTTTAATTTGCAACTTAGCCTCATTTCTGTGTCTATTTGAATGCCTTTTTGGGAGGTAAAATCTACTGTATTCTTTGATAGTCATTACTATTCCATATTCTTGATTTCAAATCTTATGCGAGCTGCGAGACAAATCAAAATTTCTTCAGCATGGACATCTTGATAAACTTGACCTTGTACCTGTCACAGGTAGATGTGAGGACAGGAGCACCTGGCTGGAGTGTGCGAGCGGCAGGTGTATCAAGTTCCACCTGACCTGCGACTCCGCGAACAACTGCGGGCGTGGTGACGACACGGATCAGTCCAACAACGCACCTGCCAGCTGCTCAGGTCAGTAGTCATGAACTTTCAAAAAGAACGTCAGTTATTAGCTTGCTGTATTGGGTCACTATTGTTGTTATGTTCTCTGAAATAAGACTTTTGTAGTATCAAAATTGGTCTTGTCTGAACACCGTCTAACCTACGCTAATGGTCTTGTTGCCTTTCCAGAGGAAGAACCAGTGGCCAGTAGTCCGGACTACACGCCGATATGGGTGAGCCTGGGTCTGCTGGGCGGACTGTGCGCCTCGTTTATCGCGTACTGGTGCTGCTGGCGCCCGGGGTGGGGCCCGTGGCGCTTCGCTGTCCTCCGTCAGCTTGGCTGCTGCCGTAAGAACGCCGGATCGGGGGAAAAGACAGGCACAATGTCGTCAAATTCCAGCCGTGACGGATCCGTGGATGGGAAGAGGGGCGACTACGGGGACGAGGAAGACTCAGAGCGCGGGCTGGGAGCGGAGGGACCTGAACAAGCATCGGGAGGACTGCTCTCCTGCTTCGGGGGTAGCCAGCCGAGAAGCCCCGGAAAAAACGGCAAAGTCGGACACGCGGGCCAGGCCGGCGGAGGACGGGGTGGAGGTTCCCCGAAGACAGGATGGGGGCAGCGGGGGGAGAGACCTCCCAGCCGGGACGGAGACGATGATGACTTCGGTGACGACTACTACCGGATGGAAGACGTGTTTTACGCTGACGTGTACGACATAGACGACTATGCCGGTGGACACGCAAGAGAGGCAAGGTAGTCTTCTATAAGATTGGCTTGATGGACTACACAAATGTTACGACAAAAGCACGAACTTATTTTTTGCTTTAAAAAGATGTACCGACTATTTTATTACCAAAATAACAAACTGGGAGAGGAGAAGAAACTAGCAAAGGAAAGTTTGTTTCCAAGAGACTTATAACACATCAACCATTGTCCCTATCAATATTGTCATAGCATTTGTATTTACAGTACACATACTATACGTAGAAAATCACAACTTTAAAAAACTTAAGTATATTTTACAAGAGGTTTCATGGTTGTCATTGGTAATCTTTGTGACTTACATTTAGAATGCTGTCTTGGAAAATAGAACAATACTGAAACAAGTAGTTTAATCTTTTTAAATGCCTATTTTTTTCATAGAGCTTATAAATCAAGTATATATATAAACAAGGGAAATCGTAGATTTCAAACCTCCGGGTTTTTTTTTCTATTGGTTTAGGTTATTTGTTTGTGTGTAGTATGAAAGTTATAATGTGCGTAATATGTTTGTATGCCGGTTTGATGGCTACTGACGGTTGGTTCGGTATGGACTGTTGATTAACGCAGTGTTCGAAATACTTTTTTGAGCAAAGTAGCACAGTGTGCTACCTAGGGCAAAAACTAGGTAGCGCAGCAGAATTTTAGGTAGCGCCACGCCCCCCCCCCATTTGTCAAATTCTATGCACGTGTCGCAATACTATATTTCTTCCAATCATAGAGGTATAATACCTCCATGCTCTAATAAAGTTACTATTTTTGAGGTTTCAACTCTGAAGTAGGAGCTCTGGGTCGAAGCCAAATTACGGGTGCGTGATTTATTCTGGTTTTCTACTGAGAAAAATCGGGACAGTATTTGCGCCGGGCAGCCGGCCATGTACGCGAAATGGTACGCCCAGTATAGCAGCGATCTATTCATGTTTTATGTTTACAATTGTGCAAATTTTTTTACAGAAATTTGATCACATATGCTTAAAAATATTGTTATACTGATGTTAAAAAATATTTTAAGACACTGAATCGCTGGCTGTGATGTGCAGCAGTGTACGTACGCCGCGTAGCGTGCCAGACATTGGCCGTGCAAGCCTATAGAATGCCCCACTTGCGACATAAATTTCTGAGGCTTATCGTGCGCATCCACAATTATTCCCATCGTTAACATAGTCACTGGGATCTGAAATGCATACATACAGGATAATTTCCCTTCTTCAGCGGGAGTTTTGTTTATGTTTTGATCGTACACGTCAAACTGCCACGCTGGTCTACGCTGCGCGCTGGTCTCGGCTGCACTTCCGGGTTCCTAAATCGACACCATAAATCGACAAAGAAACAAATATTTCCCCCCAAATTTATATTAATTGTGCACTTTTTCACTAGATGTGGCTATGCAGTCCTGGAAAACAGCGTTTAGTGCATATTTTCAAACAGAAAAATCGCGTCCCCGCGCCCTTCATGTTGCAGCTGAAGCGAACAACCAATCAGAGACGCGTAACGCGGATACGTCATGCAAGATTTGCATACGCCCGCCCACCGCTTCTGCTGGCTGCTGCCATGCTAGCTACGCGCCGTACTTGAAATAAATTGACGTGTATTTCTGGAAATAAATGCCGCGACACGAAGATCTAGCGCTGACTCGGCTTGCACCCAGCGTTCAGCGTCACCCGCGCCATTAGCCCCGCCGTCATCCCGCGCCGTCATTGCTGCGCCGTCACCCAACGTTTTTATCGGAACCAGACACCCCTCTGTTTGACCCCTTTTAAATGGTAAGACCCAAAACTGAAACCTCCCCATTCCTTAACAACATGGTAAATTCCATTTTCAGCATAACGGGGGTGTCCGGAGCACTTAAAAACCTTTTATTTCGACGCCCATAAACACATATGCAATTAAACAAAAACGTTCTGCATCATCTGCAGCCCAACAGCAATACGTGTACCGAACAACAGACCAATCCGTCCAGCCGATCGCGAGAAACAGCTGCTGACAGAAATGTTTCGAACAATAGTAAAACCTCCTCGCGGAAGGATATCTCCTTCCCCGGAGGTAAAAAGATAGGTGTGGTTTATGAGTCTTTGCTGTCGTCGGCAGATTTGTTCTCTATTACTGTGGACATATTTGGCTCGCCAGGTTTCTTTTTTCTTCCCATAACCACATTCTCATAACCCACGGACCGTCTATCGTGATCTCCGGAGGATTTGTCGTCCTCGCTGGCCGACATTTTCCGACTCGAGGTCGGACTGATTTTCGTTGTCCCTCCGGTGGTCCATCGGGAGTTTCCGTATGACGTCTTCCGGCGGACGTGTTTCCAGCGGTGTTTGTTGTACCTGTTGGTTCGCGGGTAAGACTCCAGTTTCTCGATGGTGACGCCTTTAAACAGCAGGCTGCGCTCTGTAGTCCTTTTGTACCAGTACCAGCCGCCGACAGACGCCAGGGCCAGGGCAGCGACGACTCCTATCAAAATGCCGATCAGTGCCTCAATGTTAAGGCCTCCTACTTTTGTATCTGAAAATCAACAGGAAAAACGAGAGTAAAGCAATGTTATTTTAGTTGTCAGTTGATCCTGCTGCATAGTTAGCAATTTCAAGATTCGTTTCAAGTCATCCAAAACTAAAGAAAAGAGAGTGTAGTGTAAGCAGACACAATCTTAGTCACTGAAAAAGTGTCAAATGATTCAATGATAGTAGCTGGATGTTTATTTTGTTGTACCTGAACATGCTGGTTGGTCACTGCTCTCATCCTCCCCACTCCCACAATGGTCGATTCCGTCACAAACCACAGACGAACAGACACACCTGCTGACGTTAGCACACAGGAAGGACAGAGTGTCTCCTGTGCAGGGGGCTACAGAGGAAATAAGTCCAGACAAACACTGATTTGGTTTCAGACTCATTCAGAGGTTGTACGCACCATGGTCTATATTCCGTCTTCGTAGAGAGGGCTTTATAACTGCTACTGCTTAGCCTCTACCAGGCTTCGGGAGACGAGTATAAAGAGTAGAAATCGGTCAAATACTGGAGAGATAACGCAGAAGGAGTTGGTTCGCTGAAGAGTACGCGGCAAACTGTACTCTCTAGCGGACCAACTCCCCTGGCATGTTATCTCTTTATTTGGCCGATTTCTACTCTTTCCCTGGCCAGCCGCCTCCCGAAGCCTGGTAAAGGCTAGTTACTACATGTACTATCAACTCACCAGACCTGTCTGAAAACTGTACTTAGTCAAACAAGTCGTAAGATCTGGCAACTAACTTTTGGTTAAATTTTTGATCTAGAGTAAATGCGAGCCGTCAGCTTATGTTTGTTTGCATCAAAATCTATTTCCTTGAAGCCGAACAACTAGTTTTCTTGCCATTGACGTAAGTCTATATAATGTATACATGCTTGGCATGCGATGTAATGTATCATTGTAAGTACAATAATGTATTTGAATAGGATGAAATTATTGAACATTGCGTGTCTAGAAATTTTCCATGCAACATTAATTATTCAAATCCATTGTCATCAAATACAGAGAAGCAACACCAATGTCATCTCTAACACGGAACAGGTGAGAGGTTAGAAACTCGAACTCACGCTCAGAAAACGACGTGTAGATGATTTCAAAGCCCCTCTCGTACCCATCCTCGTCGCTGTTAAACTTCAACGTCACCGTGTTACCCGACGTGACGATGTCGTCGGGAATCGTGTATCCGCATCGCGTACCGGAGATTACCGAAGTGGCGTTCGTGCCTGCGACGTCACCTTCGTAGATATCCAGCGTGTCGTAACACCGGTCGGCGGCTCCCTCTACTTCGAATCTCCGGTACTGCAGCAGGATTTTCTGCCCAGGGGAAACCCGTAACACGACCGTGCAGCGGAGGTTATCTGTGTAGTACAGGCTGCTGGTCAGCTCTAGTCTACCGCCGCACTGTTTCTGGATTGTTTTGTCACAATGTTCGTTCATGTAAACTGAAAAACATTCACAAGTTCACATTAATGGTACATGTAACTCTTATGGACTTCTCAGTGGATATAACAGTTGTCATTGGGTCGTTCTGTTCGTACGTCAATGCCAGTGTTTGAAACATGTTCCACATAGTTTCGCCATTATGAAGGCCCACGCAGGCTGAACAGTGTTTGTTCAGTCAGACCTAAATTGTGTGTTCCTGAAGAACACGACAGTTGTTAGGTCGACACCGTTAGCTCAGTACACAACTTGACGACATTTTACAAGATCTACGACCCATTCTTAATGGTGGCCCGGCCCCTCTACACCTGCACACACCACTTTTGTAACAACTTGAAGGCTTTTGTCCTTCGACCACTTAGAGAATGAACACATCAAACAAAATGGCAGAAAATTACATTAGTGTTAGGGTCAGTGGGTAGAACCAAGTACCAACCTAGTCACGTCCACAAGACTTTGCCAACTCTTTAGACTTGACTTCAAACATGTGTTGCACTTTTGTACCAACTAAATAAGCTTATCTATTGCACGCTTTGTACTTGCTAGGTGACGAAGAATGATATCATATCTGTACTCTATAAACCTTCTTGCTATAACCATGGAGCCATAATAGCCCCATGCTATAAGCAAGCGGCAAACCGGCAAAGTTTGTAATTCTGCTCAAATCGCCAGAACATCCAAACAATATTATACTGCAACATGATGGCATGTATCGATCTGCAAAAAGTACACAACTACCTCTGTAGTGTGAACAAAGACCCGAATTTGTGCAAACATACGATGGAATGTAAACACTTACTGAACCTGGGGTTACTAAGAAGTGTTGGACTGTTAACGTGTTTCCATTGCGACAACTTTTACGTCGGTAGTTACAGGACTCGTTAATGGTTGACCCTCTCATTAGTGTTGAATTTATGAAAGGAAATCTTGAACACAGGATTTAACGAGTACTGAAGAGTATTGGTACGACTAACATGACCATGAAACTTTTTTGAGTTTGGGCTCGAACTGGATAAAATGTTGCTCCTCTACGATTGAATAACATTAGACCGTGAGGCCCGATGATCGCACACATTCAAATCACATCAAAGGTATTGATTGTTTTTATTGCGTGACACCGCCAAGAATATGCGTAAACGATTCTAATGTCTTGTTTGACAAGAATTCCTACGAGGACGTTGTCAGGAATGCTGCCACGGGCACATGTTTCTGTTGCTTGGCATGGCAACCAGGAAATTACTACTGTAACATTAAACGTTTGTTTTCACTTAGGGTATCAGTAGCCTGGACGACAGATGACTGTGTACGGACAACAGGAAACTATCGGTGGCGATAACTTGATACGTACGCGTTGTCTTTTTAAAAACTCACTATTTATGTATGCCACGTTTTAGAGACCCATCCGTTATTCAGGTGTTTTGAATAGGCGCTTTACGCGCGATAAAGCACATATAGAGCCGGGGCTGCTTCCCACGGTTGAATAAGAACGAACGGTCGTCGTGTTTGGGTCTTCCTGAGAGAAAATTGATTCTCTGGCCTTCTGTTCTTTTACATCTATAGTCCAGTGGAATGTATAATTTTGGCTTACAGTAGCAGGTCTACATGTATAGGGTATTGTACATAGAGAGAGACATATGATGACAATTATCTAGGCGGAAAAACGTATCGTTGCGTGACTTTTCTGACCTTGACAATACCACTGAGAGACAAAGGCCTCTCCGCCCCATTCCCCCGCCGCCGATCAGTTGCCAATGCTCTAGGAAACATTTTTGCACGTACCTGTGTCGAGTCCTGCGGTGAGACTTGACAAAACGGAGTAGAGCAGAGCCAGGAGAAGCCATCGTACCGCCATCTTAAACTTCAACGCAAAGGGACCCGTTTGTCTCATACAAAACCAACCAACCATTCACACACTTGCTGTTACTTCTTTATGAAATAAATGACGTGAGACTTCCCAAGGGTCGCCCGGGAGACGGAACGCAGTCCCGCCGAGCACGCGTACTTGTCTGGCGTTATTACCCCCTCCAATTTATAGGTCACCAATCACGAGACGACAATAACAAGCCAGGCACAAAGTTCGTGCTCTACGGAGACCCTGGTCCGTCTGTTATCATTCGCTATTCAAACAGGTCATGCCCGTAGCCAGGGGGGGTTCGGAAGAACCCCCCCACAAGGCTCAAAGGTCCACTTTTTGGTCCACTTTTTATGTAAAGGTCCACTTTTTGGTCCACTTTTTATGTAAAGGTCCACTTTTTGGTCCACTTTTTATGTAAAGGTCCAAGAGTTTTCTTGAAAAGATGGACTAGAATCGTAGAAAAACTGCTCCCTTTGTCATTGAATAAAAACTTATCTCCGATTTTTTCTTTGAAATCCTCTCAAAAACGCACGAAATGCCATTTTAGAAGGTTCATTTTTAAAAATTTTCCGGGGGAGCATGCCCCCGGACCCCCCTAGGAACCTCGCGCCTTCGGCGCTCGCCTCGCGCCTACGGCGCTCGAGGTCCCCTCAAGCAGTCGGAAGAACCCCCCCATTCCAAATCCTGGCTACGGGCATGCAGGTGGCTTTGGTTTCAGAGTTAAACCGGCGGAAAAGATCAATTCTTGTTGCCCGCGGTGGGAGAGTGCCTAATGACTAGAAAGGGCATAGCTAAGGGCTGCCAAAGGGCGTTTAGGGAAACAGTAATACAGCGGACTTTTATTTCTACTGTTAGCCTCAGATACAAGGATTCTTTTCACAAAGACTCTTGCAAAACATGAAATAGAATGTGCCATAATATTGGACTCTGTTCAAACCACAACTATGTTACAAATTTTGCGCAGGTTATTGGAGGTGGGCTATGTGCATTTATCATTGGGAGTAAGCAAATAGAAGATAATCAACAAAAAGTTTTTTGCAGAATAAGTTTATTTTCTTGGTTTCTCCATGGTGATCATAACTTTATTTGACAGAAATTATGATGTCCTTATTATAAGCTAGCAGATACAGTGTGGAAAAGTGATGACAGGTGGCTGAAAAGTCTGCATGTTCAGCTATGAGGCAAGAATAAAGAGATTTCCGCCTGAAGTTATGTACCAAGATCACCCGACATATCATCTGAAATCATGCCAAATCATGACCAAGAGACACCGACCTATTACTTTATGGTACAAGACAAATTAAGTATAGGGTGGCATAAGACATTGAGTTTTTTCAGGTTTCTCCTCCTGAACTATCATGTTAAAAAAACTACTAGTATCATGCCAGACTCTCAGCTGACTTTTTTTTTAATGGAGGTAAGATTTTATGTACATGTACATGTACATGACAAGATTCCATCCAAAATGTAAAGCCTTTAAGGCACTAGTGGAGTTGATCATCTCTTTAGTACATCAAGCTCCATGCATGGCTAACTTATTCCTCCATAAGGAAGTCTTCCATCAGCTTGTTGAACTCATCAGCATACCGTAGGTGGATGTTGTGCTTCCCGTCTGGGAAATCATGTCTCCTGTAGGACAACAGATCAGTATTAAAGGAGGGTCATCTTCACTTGTGGTACCAAAGAAAACCCTGTCATTCCTGGTGTAAAACTCCATTAGTTTGGCAAGAAACAGTGCAAAAAAAAGCGTGGTGAAAAAGCTCAAAAACACACCAATAAAAAAAAAGAAAAAAAGCGTGATGAAAAAGCTTAAAAACACATAAAAAAATAAGCTGTAAGGCCACACCAATTTAATTTCTTGGTTAACGGATTTTTCTAGAAAAATAATGGAGCGGGCGGGCGGAAAAAA